TTAAATCCTTTTTCTATTAGTTGTCCAACACTGAATAAATTTTGATCAATATCAGGAACATAAAGAACATCTAAAATTTTCTTAGTACCTGAATTTGTTGGGATTGCAACAGTTCCTTTTCCTTTTACAAGAATATAATCAGTTAATCACCATTCCCAATTCTGACTTTCTTATTTCCCATAGACGTGAATTCTTTGAAAAGATTTCTGTCATATGTCATGTGGTTTGTACAACCACTATCAATCATCCAAATATCAGATTTCTTGGTTGAAAGAAGAGTTGCCACAAACAAGTGATCTTCTTCTTCTTCTTCTTCATTGGCGACTTGTGCATCTGCTTCATGCTTCTGAAATTTGCCTTTGCAAATTACAGCTTCATGACCAAGTTGGTTGCAAATTTTGCACTTTGCATCTGGCTTCTTCCAACATTTGAACGGTGGATGACCTTTTTTTCCATAGTGCTGACAAGGTGGGTAATTTTTCTTTGCATTATTACCCTTGCTTTGAGTTTTGTGGTTGGCTGCCAAGGCTCCTTCAACCGTACCATCTTGCCTCATAAGCCTCCTTTGCTTTTGTGCCTGCAATGTATTTAACAATTCTGCCAAGGTAATCTTGGATAAATCCTTTGTATTTTCCAAGGTAGTTATGGATACTTCAGGCACCGTAACAAGAATTTTTTCAACAATTCTTTAATCTTTAAATTTAGTACCAAGCAACCTTACCTTGTTAACAATGCCAAGCAATCGATCTGAAGTATTCTTTGATGGTCTCAGATTCTTTCATTTTCTGCAACTCGAATTCCCTTATTAAATTCAACACCTTCATGCCTTGTATTCTTTCATCTCCAGTATATTCTTCCTTCAAATAATCCCAAATTTCTTTTGCTGATTTGAGAGTCATAACTCGTGAAAATTGTTGCAGACATACTAGCAAATAAAGTTGCTTTCGCCTTTGATTTCCTGGTTTTCTTTTCCTTGTGACTCTTGATCTGGGCCACGGTGGGATTGTTAGGCAGTGGAAGAACATCATAATCCCCTTCCACAACCTCCCAAAGATCTAAAACCTCCAAGTAAGTCTCCATTCCTACTGCCCACAGTTGGTAATTTTCACCATCAAAGACTGGAGGAGCCAATTGAGAAAAACTCGTTTCAGTCTCCATCTCACTCAAGAAAAGATTTTACTTAGGTCCCTTAAGAATATGGCTCTTGATACCAATTGTTGGTTCTTGAAAAGAGAAACTAAGAGAAATAACAGGGGAAGATGACAGGAAAATAAAAGCAGTATACTAGAATAGATATAAAAGGAACTCTAGAGAACTGAAGCTAAAATTCTATATTATTTCACTGCATCTGGACTACAATTTATAAGAGAAATACTAACTTAAAATACCTAAAAATCAGCACAAAATCTGCTGAAAATGACAAACTCCTAAAGACTAGTTCACTCCTAAAGACTAGTTCAAAATTATTTCAAATTCAAAATAAATTACTGCAGTAAATAACTCTTAAGCTGAAACAGTAAAATAATTTTACTATTTTCAGCTTCTAAAGCATATTTCTAACAAGAAAAAACTGTTAAGTCATATTATGAGAACCTTTTGATGAGAGAGAAGGTAGCCTTTCCACATTGTTCCATTTGGATTCCTAAAGCTCCAAGAAAGGTGCAGTCAGACCTCTCTATAAGGGTGTTTGGATTGGCTTATTTTAAGTGCTTATTGGCTTTTAAGCACTTTTCTAGTTTTTGAGGTGTTTGGCAATGATAAAAAGTGCTTAAAAGCACTTACTTTTAGGCATGAAAAGTACAAAAATAAGCCAAAAGCCAAAAGTTGGGTATTAACAACTTATGGCTTTTGGCTTTTAGCTTATAAGCTACTTTTTAAAAGTCAATCCAAACACCCTCTATAACAACATCCCTATATAACAACCATTCACTATAAAAGCCAAGCTTTTCTCGAAACCGACTTTTATGTTATGTTATATATATCTTATCTAACAATACTTCTCTATAGCAGCTAAAAAATACCGGAACAAACAAGACTGTTATAGAGAGATTTGACTGTATTTCACTTGGTTAGCAGCAAGAGGGATGATCTTGACGGCTGATAACTTAAGGAAGAGGAGAATTACTTATGTAAGCTGGTGTTTATGTGTAAGAGATCAGGTGAAGATGTGGACTCCTTCATTGTCCGGTAGCTTCTCGGTTATGGAGAAAAATTCTGTGTTTGTTTGGTACAGAATGGAAGATGCCCGGCACAGTAAAAGAGATGTTGTTCAACTAGAACCGTGGGAGGAGAAGGAAGAGGCGTAGTGCGTGGAAGGTTGCTCCACTTGCGCTTATGTGGGTTGCAAGAGAGGAATATGAGGGCTTTTGAAGGGGTACAGTAGTAATTTTGTACAGCTAAGGAATAGCCTCTTGTACCTTATTGTTTTTTGGTACACCCATGAGGTTCCTGTCTGTACAGATGATTAGGTGTCGTTTGTAGAAAATCATCCGTTATGTAGGTTCTTTTTTGTGTGTGTATACCACTAGTATACAGGTTTTTGCTCAACTATCAATAAAATTTATTTATTTAGCAAAAAAAGAAAAAGAAAAAGAAAAAGCATAGTGCTTCATTGAACTCGTTTCCTGATATCTGAATAAGAAAACATTTTCTCTGAGAGGGGAACCCTGAAAGAACTAGTCAACTAGATAATATGTGAATTGACATCATCAGGAGCTCCAAATTCCATTATGATTGAGCATGTGAAAAATAAGAGACACACGGAAAAGAATTGAGAGAATGAGTGAAGAGTACTGTTATACACTTCATTCCTTTTGTAGTTTGTAGGTACACTTCTTTTGAGAAAATAGTAACATGATTGTATATTCAGGATGTTGGGTACTTACACTGAGTATTAACTATTTACACTTAGTTTCAAGTTTCAACACTGGACTCTCCAACACTCTACCTAATGCCACATGTCATATGCACTAAAGTTGTCACGTGTCTGATTCAGAGATTGGTGAGGTACTTGGTAACATATATTTGCAAACTGATCATTAGCTTCACGAATTCTATGACGATATCTCTAGTTCCTTTTCTTCGAAAAAGTGTATCGATTTTTTATGTGTTCAGTTCTCCCATGAAAGACCAGATTTGATGCAACACGAAGAGTAACTTGATTCTCAAAGAAAAGTTCTATCTGACTGTTATAATTCTTTGAGCACCTATTTGATCCGTATAAGTTCACAAGTTGCCGTGGCAATGTTCCAATATTTTGTTGGTGCACTAGATTTAGCAACTATGCTTTGCTCTTCTAAGATGCCAAAGTAGCTCCAGCTAAAACGCATCATCCGAAAGTAGAGAATCTATTAGGAGCTGACCTTGCCTAATCTGCATGGCTATCTAACAATATGCTCATATCTTCAATTCTCAAAGAATTATCCTTTTCCTTGATTAGTTTTTATATATCGAAAGATATAGACCGTTGCATCCTAATGGGTCCACGTGGAGAGTCCATATAACTGATATAAACATGAAAAGGCAAGATCATGTTGAGTCATTGTGAGGCAATTAGGTGTCCAACCAATTGTTTTGTCTCCCAAAATCACCAAGAGGCTCCCATGACTTTGTAGAAACTTAATCAATGAATTTCCCTCAAAGTATTTGTTTTTCTTTTTCTATTAGAGAAAAAACCCATGTCCGATGATATATATGATCATCTAGATTTCTAAGGTTTATACTTTAATACAGTTGTCTATCTATTTCAAATAGACATTAATACACCAAGTATATAATATGAAAGAACCATACAATTAAAACAGTCCGTCTACATACAGTGGGATGAACTAGTACCAGGGTTGTGAAAAGCGGTCGCTTCGTCGCTTAAAGCGAGAAGCGAAGTGAGGCGACCCTATGACCGCTTCTGCTATATGAAGCGACTCAGGTAGGCAAAAAGCGTGCACTTCCCACTAAAAAGCGAGAAGCGCTGAAGCGAAGTGAGCGCTTCTTTGTTTTAAACACCTGTCAACCTATTTAATAAAAAAGGAAAGGTGTTCTTTTATTAAAACATACGACCAGCAGCAACAGAGAGAAAGAGGCGACTAGGGTTCCAAGTCTTGTACACTTTTCAACTTCAACATACGACCAGCAGCAACAGGTATGTGATTTCTTCTTCCTTCTTCTTCTTTTTCTTCTTTTTCTTTTTCTTTCACTGTTTCAGTGTCCAAATAGCAGCGAAATGCTGGCGAATTTTTTTTTTTCCTTCGGTTCTTCCTTCTCAGTCTTCTCCTCTTCGTTGAAATAGTCCAGTTCTTCTTTCACTATTTTTATGCTGCCCAGTATTTATTTTAATATTATTTTTTTTAAATTCCGCTTCACTTCAAAAAAGCGAGCGCTTCGCTTCTCGCTTCTCGCTTTAAGCGAAATGGGAATTGTCGCTTTTCCTCGCTTCACGCTCTTCACAATACTGACTAGTACAAGTTAATAGTTTCCTTCTATCCCAACTTTCTTTTCTGTCCAAATGAAAGAAACAATAACTTTTCGGCTTTCTCACAATTTACCTTCCTTTTTCTACCCTTCCCTTCTTTCCAAACAAAGGGTAAAATTCCAAATGAGAATAAACTACCACTAGCATTGGTTGGAAGAGCTTCCTTCATGCTTTAAATTCAAAATGTACTTCCTTTAGACAGATTTTAAAATTTTACACTTATTACTCGAGGAGCATGCCACCATCCAGGAGGTCGGAACCAGACTCCTAAAGAAATGAAAGGTTAGACGGCATAAATAAGACTCAGTGTGGTTTAGACCACGCATAGCGAGAGCTTAGTGCACCGAGCTACCTTTTTTAATTACTCGAGGATGTTCTCATACTAGATTTGGTTTCAAAATTTTACATATACAATGATTAAATTGTTTGAAGGATATGCAAAACCACTATAAACCATACAAAGATTATCCACTACAGTAAAGCAGAGAAAAAGACAAAAAAGAAATTCTTTCAGAAGTGTAAGTGAAGATACCCAGTTTGTTCAACAGTGAACTCGCCAGAAGCAATACGAGCAGATAATTCAGCTCTCCGTTTTTCTTCTAGAAGCTTCTCCACAGTCTTAACTCCTTCGTTTACCGACTCTGGCTCTCTTCCATTTGAAGAATTACACCTAATTGTGCAGCAATACCCATAATTCCCTAATTAAGAGGGAAAAAATAACATATTAATGACTTTTCTACCTAAAAATGGGAAAATGGAATAGCTTAAAGAGAAAAAGAATGACGATACCATTGAACTTAGGAGAAGTAGTGGGTCTGAATCTGGAAAGTGTTGTTTTGTGAAGGGAGTGAGTTGGGAATTGAAGAAGTGGAACAGAAGCTGCCATGAAAATGATGATAATGGAGAGTGTATCAAATGAGTGAAGTTTGTGCTGTTAAAAAGGCAACCGCTAAAAGCAGCTAAAACGGAGAAAAGGAATCTTATTTGGATAGTTAGCTTTGGCTTATGGACCGTTTTGGTGTAAAGATACTCCCAGCCGTCCGAAGTATCTTTGTTTTGGTTAAGGCCAACCAATTAAAGATTGGAAATTTGGACTACCCAATGTTTGGTAGGAGGTTAAATTTGCCGAGAGGTTTTGTCATTATTTGCCCCGAATTCATATAAATTTAGGCCATGTTTCGAAAGTTTTAAGTGTAATTATACAATTTTAGCTTGTTTATCTGGTCAAGTAATTACTTATAAATTGGACTTAAAGTAATTACACTCTTCAATTTTTAAGAAGTAAGAATTAATGATAATTACATCGTATAATTATAAGATGACTTTTCAAATTCTCTTTTATTTTTCAAGGGATGTACTGGTCTTATGGGTGTTTAACGGGCGGGCTGGGATGGGCTGGACACAAAAAAACCCAGTCCGTCCGTTTAACGTTGCGGGTTGTTAGCGGGCTGTACTTTTTTGGGTTTTTTTGTCCGTCCGGATTCGGGATTAGAGGGTTGTTAGCGGGCTGTTAGCGGCCCGTGTAATTTTTTATTTTATTTTTAAAAGTAAATTTTATTTTTCTTATTCAATGTTATTGATACTTAAGTGTTTGTAAATTTTTAAGGCTTAGAATTAAACTTTGAAGTTTAAAGTTTTAAATTTGAAATTTATAATTTTAAAATTAAAATTTGAAAGTAAGTGGCTACAGAAAATTATTTAATAAGATCAATTGGCAATATGTAAGGATCAAGTTTCGAAGACTTTCATTTGATATTTTTATTGAATAATATATAATACTTTAAATTAAGTTGCAAGTTCTTTTTTGATTTTGTTATTTTTGAACTTACAAATTAAAAGTTTACAACAATTATAAAATAAAAAAAAGAAATAGTACATCACATGCTTTGCATCATTTTTGTAAGTTCGTCCATGTCAACATGAGGTTCTTAGTTTCCGGCATTGGTTGAATCAGAACCATAAACCATTATATCTCCATTTTCTTGGTACTCCGCTTCATCTACCTCGACACGCCCTTGATTTTGCCGTTCTGATCTTATCCAATCTCTGAAGCACACTAGATTTCCAAAGTGTTGCTACAGAAGAAGGAATATTTGCATCTACAACAGAAGAAGCATCAACAATGTTAGCATAATAATTATATAATATTTCTAAATGTTTGTGTAGATCAAGAATACAAGTGTCAATATCAGGAGTTTCAGTTGGTCCAATATCCATATAAGAATATAAAGCAGTGATTAATTGGCGACAAGTGGTCATTTTTATAGAAAGGTTTAAAATAGCACCAATTAAGTAAATAGGGGGAATTGGGTAGAAATATTTTTTAAACTTATCTAGCATAGATTCAACAATAGAAGTATATCCTTCTTTCTCTTTCAAATTATGTAGTAAAAGAGAAATTTCAGTAATATGAACTAAACCATTTGCAATAGTAGGATAATTTGCAATATTTGAATTTGACCGTTGGAAACAGTCCCAAAAAAACGTTAAAAAACGGGGTGAACCGGCCTGTAGCCCGTTAAAAACCCGTTAACGGGCTTAGCGGGTTCCGGTGCACCGATATCAAAAAACTATTCGTTTGAAACTCGCTCCCCGCCCAACCCGTCCCAGTCCGCCCCCACGCTACAGTACCGGCCTGACCAGGCTGAATCGGGTTGTAAACGGGTCAGTCCGGCCCGATTAACATGTATAACTGGTTTTGCATTTCTCTTGCACGTTGAATCGAAGAGACACTTTCAGAGAATAGTGTAGTGATTAAAGCACTAGTATAAGTGTAATACTCATAGTTAGGGGTGTCAAACGGGCAGGTCAGGTCAGATATGGGCGGATCAAAAATGGGTCAAGCAAAAACAGATAAATTATGTGGCTCGAGTCATATTTAGTACTGATAAAAAAATACATTAACCAGCGGATAATATAGATCCATAGCTTCTTGAATATGATCACTTTTGGGAGGATTCCTAGTTTTCCAAACTTGAGGAACCCCAATTTGAGGCCTTACAAATGTAAAAGTTAAACACATTAGTTATCCATTGGTATCCATTTTCTAAGCAGATAATATGGTTCTTATCCATATTTGACCCGTTTTTAAAAAGTTTATTATCCAACCTATTTTTTTAATAAGGAAACTAAGTCATATACCTACAAAACGAAAAAACATTACCCGTCTTCACCCATTTTTAAACTAATTACAAAAACTACATGCCATATGAGAATATATTACCCGCCTACCCAATTTCCCAATTCCCTAAATCATGGAAAACTCTTCTTCTAATCTCTTTTTCTCTTTCTCTCCATCTTCTTTATTACCCAACCCTAACTTCTCCAAATCTCTTCCTTCTTATCAATATGTAGCATGGGTAATTTTAGGGGAATGGGATGCTACTGGTGAAGGTAGATGAACGAACATGAAAAACTAGCCATGGTTATCGATGGTTAGGTGTTAATGAAGTTAAACTTCGATAGAATTATTGTGTCTTTTGTGTATTTTTGAGCTTTTATGTGTTGCCGACTGAAATTGATATTGCTTCTATTGTGAAACTTAATGTGAGCCAAAAATCATGAAGAAAACAAGTGGGTTCAAAAACTACTGGACTATGTTTTAGATTTTCAAAATTTTTAGGTCCTTGCTCAAATTTTAGATGACGTTCTCATGGTGGAGATTTTGCAGTAAAATTTTTAAATTTGGGTTAAAGATGAGTTGAACTGGAGAAGAAGAATTTGTATTGTATACCAAAACGGTATACTATATACTATTTTGGTATATAGTTTATTCCAACGGTATACTGTCACAATATACTATATAATGTAACAATATACTAATTATAATTTGGTCTTTTTTGAATTTTTTAAAAATTTTATTGAGTTTTTTCCAGCTTTTCAACGGAGTTCTCATGTTTTTAAATTTTGTTTTTTCTTAAACCAAAATATTTAGTTTGAAATATTTGATCGGAGGTTATGGCTAAAATTTGAGTTAATTTGGTGGAAATTCTGGAGTAGATGTTTGAAATTGAGTTGAACTAGTGAAGAAGACTAATTTGTACTATATACCAAAATAACATATTATATACAATTTTTGTATATAATACTTAATTCAATAGTGTATAATTTATTGCGTTAAACTGGCGAAGAAGAATTTATACTATATACCAAAATGATATACAATATACCATTTTGGTGTACAGTTCATTCCAATGGTATACTGTTGCAGTATGCTATATAATATAACAATATACTATTGCAATTTGGTTCTTTTAGAATTTTTTAAAATTTTTATTGAGTTCTTTTTCAACTTTTCAATGGAGTTCTCATGGTTTTTTAATTGTTTTCTTAAACCAAAATATTTAGTCTAAAATATTTGATTGGAGGTTGTGGCTAAAGTTTGTCAATTTGGTGTAAATTCATTTTTGACATTTAGATTGAAATTGAGTTGAACTAGCGAAAAAGACTAATTTGTAGTATATACCAAAATAACATATTATATACCATTTTAGTATATAATACTTAAATCAATAGTGTATAATTTATTGCAACAATATACGATTACAGTATATAGTATAATGTAACAATATAGTTAAATTTGGTATTTTTTTTATTTTTCAAAATAAATTCAAAGGGTCCTTCTTAAATTTTCTAACAGAGTTCTCGTTATCATATACCCAGTCAATATATGATATATAGCATGTGAGTATCATAGTTGTAACAACCCGACTTGTTGTTTTGAATATTTATACTCCTTCCAATTATTTGAAGTCTTGAATAGCTTCATATGATGTATTATGACGTGTATGAATCATCAGTTTTGTTTTCAGATGTTTCAGAACATATTCGCAAGAATACATTCCATGTTGGAAGCCTTAAGTTGAAAGAATTGACCAAATTTGACTTTTTAGTATTCGACCTCGGATCGAAGTTTTGATAGTTCCGTCAGGTCCGGATGGTGATTTTGGACTTGGTCATATGCCTGTATTTGCATTTGGAAAAATCTAGAAGGTTTCGACACTAATTGGCGAAAGTTGGAAATATTAAGCAAAAAAGGTGTTTTAATTTCCACAACACCTACCTTTGGACGGGTATAACTCTCATAATGTGAAGATACTTTCCATGAATTTTGCACCTAGAGTGTAGCCCTTTGAGTCTAGATTGTAATGCATCAAGTCGTTCGTCATTAGGACATTCCTACTAAAAGTTATGATCAAATTACCAAAGTTAGATCACCCAGTTATTTTGGCGGAAAGCGAAGTGAGGGTCACTTCGCCATACCGGGCGCGGATCCTACCTTCTCTTGCATGCAGTGGACAGCGAAATGAGGGTCACTTCACCAGACCGGGCGCAGACCAACTCCAGCTTTTTTTAAACCAATTCGTAGCTCATTTTCCCCATTTCATTTGGACGAATTTTGGAGCTCTTCTCCACTATCTCAAGACCACCAACTCCTCCCATCTTCAAGGTAAGCAATTCCCATTATCTTGGTGTAAAATTCCATCATTTCTACACTAGTATTGATGAGATCTACACACAAAATATGTAGATCTTCAAGAAATTTCTTCAAGAACTCAAAGGAGGAATTTGCAAGATTTCTTCCAAAAGGTAATCCTACACTCTTAGACTTACATGTATGGATATATTAAGGGAATATGAGTATAAATTAACTATTAAAACTTATGATATGGTGATTGGAAGCAATATGTTCCCAATTTAAATACATAACCATTATAGAGATTGAAAGGTTATTATTTGCTGGAATTTTGTTGGTTGGGTGTGGATGGATGGTCATGTATGCGATGCTGGAAGTTATAAATTGTTGGTAAATGGTAGTAGTTGGATGAACTAATTCTATGGTTAAGATATGTAGAGATTCATGCCTACTAGGTGTTTGATAAAATG